GCGATAAACCGGTTGGGATCGGAGGAGTTGTTGATTACGATTGTGATATAGGATATTATATTGGACCCGGTTTAATGGATAAAGCGGATATATATTGGAGGATAAGCCCACTAAGACATCTAAGCCCAACGATAGGGGTCAAGTCCAACTTGGGCCCAAAATGTATACTCCCCCTATAAAAGGGGCCAAGGTACCTCATATTTTCATTCTCTATTCATTCATTACGGCACTATCTCTCTCTTTGGATTGGAGACTGACTTAGGCATCGGAGGCCCGACGCCGGGGCCACCCCCGGCGTTGGGTTCTGCAGGTACGGAGGTCGGTTCGAGTTGAAGGAGCCCGGGTGAAATTTATTCACTGCAGATTGAGTGTTTGGGTTGTGATGTTTTATTTTTGAACCACTTAACTTATATTTATCTAACTCGATCCCTAAGCCTCCGTTACGTCCCTAGAAGTCCTCTTGATTCACCATTTCATGAATTTGATTGATTTAGAGTAGAGGTTAGACGATAGGCAAGCATACGATTGATATGACTGGCGACCAATTTGAGTGCTCCTGTCTTTTATTTGCGGAAGAAACTGAGTGAGGCACTTATATCATATCTCCGTACTCGAGAGTCTGTATTGTCAAGTGACTGAGTTAATTGTTGTGTGTGTTCTCGTGGTCATCAGAATTCTTTTCAACTTAGTTGATCAATTTGAGGCTTTTCTTGTTTGAAACCATTGTCCACTCTCGTTTGTGTGTTTTGTTTTTTTTTATTGTTCGGAACGAACAATGGTTTAAGTGTGGGGGAGTTGTCCGTTCTATTTTTGTCGTGTTTTTCGTGTTTATTTTATATTTATTTTCCCCCATTTTAGGCATTTTTCCTTTGTTCTTGGTCCACTTGTAGTGCATTTTTTCTTATTTTGTTCGTTTTTGGCTTTCTTGTTTGTTTTCCCCGTTTTTCTCTTGTCGGTGGTGATGTGCACATTAGGTAGCTCGGTCGGTTATTAATTTCGAGAGTCAAGATGGTCGTGCGAGGATTGCTATCTTGAAGGTTGGGGTCGAGTCGAGTAAGAAAAGTTGGAATTAAATTCCGAGTCTGATAGATATGTAGCCCCTTTATCACTATTTGAATTTGTGTTTTAAGTTGTGAGATTGGAATAACTTGCTTTGTTTTTAGAATTCCTAGTTGATAAAACAAACCAAAAATCTTAAATTAGAATGTTTAGGACTTTGTTTCTCTTTTGAGTGATTGAATACCGTACAAATAATCCGGTCAACCTTCCTTGTGATACGACCCAGAGAACGTATCTTTTCATTCGACTCTGATAAGAATACTTACAACATTTGTCGCATGGCTTTCGCATAAATATATCTCATTTTATCGATTATTTTCGTTTGTTTGTCGCATAGTCTATCGCATAATTTCTTTTACACTTTATGAAGTGAAAAAAACTAACTTTTAATTTATTGGTGTGAAAAAAAAAAACTTATTTCATTCTTTCAAAATAACTATATGCTCAAGTTAAAACCCCTGTTTCCGGCGTAATGAGAAGATATTAAAACCCGTGTTTTCGGGCGTAATCAGAAGCCATATATCTTCTTCACCCGCCTATCTTTTTGAAAATTGCCCCAACCCCCGCGCGTGTTTTCTTTTTTTTCTTCATTACAGTTTGAAGTATATAATTAACAACCAAATGTGTACTTGATTAAAAAGTCTTAAAGAACATAAAACAAAAGGAAGACAATAAATACTAGAATAATAACAAAAGTAAACAGACCGAGCCAAATAATTCTTTTATACATATTTAAATAAAAAAATAAATAAATTAGGATGAATTTTTCAAAGCCACCTACACCTACCTACCTTATTGATCAACCAAATGAAATCAATTTCTGAAATTCCTCATACCTATTGACATTAGCCATATATATATATAATTTATAAAACACACCTCACCAACAATTTAATTATTGAGATGCCATCCATTTTTTCTAATCATGCTTGTTCACACCCAAATCCCATCTTCAAAACCCTATCAATATTTCAATCACACCCCCACACTAGCTCTCATCAAACCTTCATACATACATTTCAATCAAAAGAGAAAAAAAAAAAAGAATGAAGAACATTTCACTAACACTACTTGTACTCTTCCTACATCTCATCCCACTCATCTCCTCACAACCCTTTACTCTCACCCAATTCCAAAACCCTAGACTCTTTCAAGCCTACCAAGCCCTCCAAGCTTGGAAGCTCGCCATCACGTCCGACCCTCAAAACTTCACGTCCAACTGGGTCGGATGCAACGTCTGCAACTACACCGGAGTCTTCTGCGCCCCCTCACCGGACGACAACTCCACGACCACAGTTGCCGGGATCGACCTCAACCGCGCGTCCATCTCCGGCATCCTCCCGTCCGACCTCGGAAAACTCACCGACTTGGCCGTCTTCCACCTCAACTCCAACCGATTTACCGGCACAATCCCCTACGCATTCCAGAGCCTCCGACTTCTATACGAGCTCGACTTGAGCAACAATCTGTTCTCCGGGGGATTCCCCGACGTTGTACTCTCTCTCCCTTCGTTAAAGTTCCTCGACATCCGGTTCAACCAGTTCCAGGGCGCTGTCCCTTCAGGTATGTTCGACCTGAAGCTGGACGCGCTTTTCATAAATAACAACAATTTTCAAATGACCATACCGAAAAATATCGGGAACTTGCCCGTGTCAGTACTTGTCATCGCGAATAACAATTTCCAAGGGTCGTGTCTGCCGAAGGAGATCGGGAATATGGGGGGCACGTTGCAAGAGATCATACTGATGAACGCGAGTCTGGGCGGGTGCTTGCCGGACGAGATCGGGTCGTTGACTCAGTTGACCGTTTTCGACGTGAGCTTCAATAATTTAGTGGGGAGTCTTCCCGAGTCGATGGGGAACATGAGGGGACTCGAGCAGCTGAACGTGGCGGGAAACAGGCTGTCGGGAGATATCCCGGAGAGCATTTGCAGGCTGCCGAGGCTCGAGAATTTCACATACTCGGGGAATTATTTCTTTAGGGAGCCGAGTTCTTGCCTGAAGCTCAAGGAGAAGGATGATGCTGGGAACTGTATACCTTTCAGGCCTAGGCAGAGGTCAGTTGATGAGTGTGAACATTATTATTCACGACCGGTGGATTGTACCGCCTTTGGCTGTTCGCCACGTCGCGTTAATAAGCATCCATGATCATGTTTTTTTTTTTTTATTAATTGTTTCACATACTATTTCTGATTCATGTCTTTCTTCTTTCTTTCTTTTTTTTTTTCGTTTTTGTATTTTATTTTAAATGTTTAAACAAAGAAAAATAAAAACAAATAGAAAGGAATTGATTGTTTCTTCTTGGTTGACAATAATAAAGATTTCCGCGTGTACATTCTATTTCATTTCATTGAATACAAGTAATGTTAAGTCGTGGGAATATATATATTCTAAACTTGTTTAAAATATGTCCAATACATAAATTAATAATCTACCACTTATGAATATATAAATGAAATTATACTTTATCCAAGTCAATGTGCCTTCATTACTTTTTGAAAAGAATCATCACAGACTGTAATTGTATTTTTATTATGACAAAACAAACTTTGACCAGGGGTTCACTAAACTCATTGTTTCATCATCAAAATTTTTTTAGTGTGTCTGTAAATAGGACTATAAAACGAGTCGAGTAGAGCTCGAGCTCTTAACGAATCGAGCCGAGCTCTCTGGCTCAAGCTCGACTCGTTAAGGCCTCGAGCTTGAGCCCTTACGAGCCGATCTCGATATTTAATGAGCCGAACTATAAAAAATTATATAAAAATTCTCTTTTCGAGTCTTATTGAGCCGACCGGAGCTCGACTCGTTAACCAAAGGAGTTTAAAATGAGTACGAGTGCAACTCGTTAGGCCTCGAACTCGATTTTAACGAGTCGAACCAAACTCATTTAATTTAATATCACTAACTGTAAATGAACCCATTCCTCTCTCTCTCTTTTATTTCTCTTTTTTAGTTTCTTTCTTATGTGATGGGTCTTCTCCTAGATCTGGAGTGAACCAGTGGAAATGAGCTCCGATCTGTTCGAATTAGCTCCAAATCGTCCGTGGACCGCTGCAAACACCTGCAAGAACTCAACACCGGAAGTGTTTCCGGTGAAGAGCCTCCGACGCTCAAGTCAGTGAAGGAAAAAAAGATGAGCTCTGCTCAGTAGAAGCAGCAGCTGAAGAATGAACGGAGAGAATGAAAGTTAGGGTTTGGAGTTACCTCAACTTCTTTATATAGGAGTAGAAACACTTACTTGAAGTACCTAAAATGCTCTGGTCGACTTACATGAAGTGTCCAAAATGCCCTGGTCGGTTCGCATTCCGCCCACTCCTGAGTCAGCATCTAGATTCCTTCTTATCCTATGTGAACTTAGCTTCACTTGGAGATTCTCCATATGTTGTACCTAAGTGTATCAAGTCGTCGGAGGTCTTGTAAGTCGACTTGGGGCCTTGCCAAGTCGACCTAAGGTTGCATACGTATCCAGGGATCCTAGAGTGCCTGCTCGTCTTCTTCAGAGAAGTCGTCTTACTCCCAGTCGACTTCCCAAAGTCCTCTTGAGTCCGTTATCGGACCGACGATGGTCTTTGAATGGCCGATGGGTCAAGTCGACTAAGCGATGTTCGCTAATTATTTTAGCTATCCGCAAGTGTACGGCGTAGCTATAGGTAGTGGCGAGCAAGGTCGTATTCCACAGAGATTGTAGTTAAATTAATTAAGTACTAAAATAATGACGATTAAATATTATTTAGACTAATGAATTGGATAATGGTTATGAACTAAGAAATTAAACTAATAACTAATTTACCTAAAGAAATAAAAATAAATCAAGATATAAAAGATAGATTCTAGGTTCTGCTTTCCTCGGAATTAATTCATGAAACGTTTATATTCATACAAACCTTATTTAATTTCACCAATCGTAGAGATAATCGCTAAATTGATTTCAACCTTTCTCTCGAACAAGCAAATCGTAGATATTGATTGTTATCTATCTCCTCTCGGTCTCAAGATGAACAACTAACTCCCATAAGTTCCCAGGATTTTTGTTCTCTCGTAAGATTCTATCAACCTCTCGGTTTGTTTAGTCTCCTACGTTATGAATTTCCCAATTCTAGCAATCAATTATCTCCTCTCGGTCTCAAATCGATCACAAATATGCATTCATAGTGGCCATCTACTCACACAATAGAATGAAATAAATAAAAACTAAATCATAAATCAATCCGAGTACTAACAAATCCTAGAATCCAAAATAAATCTAGCCTAGAAACATGTTTTCAAAATAAGAAAAATAAACATAAAAGATTAAGTTCGAAAGAAGAAAAGAAAAAGAAAGAAAAAGCTTATTCGGCTCCGTCGATCCCTTCTTCCCAGACTTTCTCCCTCGTCTTGCTCGTGTTTCTAGCCTCCAAAAGTCTCCAAAGATCTGAAAATTAGGTCCTAGACTCTCCAAAAACGTGTCCAAGTGTTATATATATAGTTGTAGTCGAGTCCTAGTCGAAATAGGTCGAAAATCCCTAAAAATAGGAGAAAACGCGTAAAATTGGATTATGCTGCGCCTAGGGTCACACGACTCATATCAATAGCCACACGAGTCGTGTGATAAAGTCGAGAGCAAGTTACGCGACCCGTCGGAACGACACGAGTCGTGACGCGCCACACGACCCGTGTGAGTCTGGGAGGTTGAAAAAATATTTTCGGGGCTGCTCGTGACTCCTGACGTGTTCTCCGGTGTCTCAGTCGACTCCCGGTGGTCTTACCTTGCTTCCAGGTGGACAGAATACTTCCAGGTGGCTGGCCATGTGAGCTCCGTTCAAATTCCGGCCACGCAGCTTCTTCTCCGGCGAAATGGTGGTCGAGGAGTTAAGTTCTGCTCCAGCGTATGTGCAGCGGCGAGGTGTTTCGGGGACGAGTAGCAGACTTGTGGCGGCGCGGTGGTAGACGAGCTGCGAAGCTCCGAGCTCTTTCATGGCGGACATAAGTTGGGGACGTGAGTTACGTTGAAGAAGAAAACTACATGTAGCTGAAATGCCCTTTATACCCTTCTTTTAAGTAGATGTTTTGGACTGGACTTGTAATGGACTTGTACCAAACTACGAAGAAACGGACACAAAAATCACTATAAAATGCACGTAAATATGACGCATGTCAAATCCCCCAAACTTAACCGTTGTTCGTCCCCGAACAACATATAAGCAAAAACAAACCACGTGCATGAAAAGTGATTTTAAACAAGAAAAGCCTCAAGTCACTTAAATAATCAAGATAAATTCAAGTAATTGCAAATACATATGCCCCAACTCTTAACTTGATAAATCTCTGAATTAATGAACTCTCAAATAAGGTCAAATATATATGTGCCTCACTCAAATATCTTGTGAAATATCGTCAAAGAAATAGAAGGGTACGCTCAAGTTAGTTCGAAACACAAAGTGAACCATAAACTTGGAAATCGTCTACACTTTACTAAATACAATTAATGTACGTGAGCTATGAATCAAAAGGACTTTTGGGTTGTAATGTAGGCTCTTTGGACAAGGTAGAAAAATATAGGCCAAGTGACTAAAAAAATCGAACAAGACATCGATGAAAAATCACCATCGCGTATCTCCAATTATCTCCCAAGAAAACATACATACACAACTCTATAAAGCACAATACCATATATGCAAATCTCGGCAATTGATCATTTTTTTTCTCAACTTTTTTTTTCTTCTTTTTTTTTTTTTT